TATATTTTTTACATATATAAAACGGTTAGTTTTTATTGGAAAGTAGTTAATGTAGGTATCCTCCTAAGTATACTTAGGAGGATACCTACATTAACTACTTTCCAATAAAAACTTACCGTTTCATATATGTAAAAAATATATTCGGAAAATTAGAGAAAAAAGTAAACTAATGGAAGGTTGGATGAAAGCAGTACGTATCAAAGAAGTGAATTCCGGAATAAAAATTTGTTCACGTCATTTTAATGCACATGATTACATTTCAGCAAGTATTTACCATCAGCCAACACCTTAATATTTAAAATAGAATCATACTAAAATTATAAAGTGAGAAATTATTTATTCCTATGTAATGGATTTAACACAATTCTAATTATGCGATTTAAGTATTTTCAGGTTCAGAACCTACTTAAATCGGCATTGCACGTGCAAGTCATTGATATGATATTGCTTAAATCACTCAGAATCACTTCACCAATTATATAACGTGAATCACTTTTTAAATCCGAAGTTTGTAAAAAGTAGGCAGTAAACTTGACGGAATTTGTTATTTCCGAATTTTATAATGTGATTGGCATTAAAAACACGCTAACCTTCTACGAAATTTCCTTTCCGAGGCTTTATGTTAGCCCAATCACATATTGTGTCAAAACTTATCATTTTATCGTAATTTAAAAACTTGGAAATTGTAAGGTACACTATCGGAACTACGATAAATTTTCCCTAATCGGCGCCATGTTTTTAGGCTCCTCCCATTTGACGGATCCCAATAATTAGTTTACATTACAACCAAATTGTCGTTAAAAAGTTGAAGATCAATGAATAAAACAAAGACCTGTCGACCGAATAATGAGTAAAAAAAGTGGGTTTGTGAGCCCTCTCTAAGTAATTTTAAAATCTAATTGTATTAGGGTACTTTTGTAAGACCCTGTATGTGTAGGTAGTTAATTTTCTGTGCTTGAAGATTTTTTTGAAATTTCTAGCACGCTTTTCCGTCAAATTTCGAGCTTGTTTGTTCAGAGCACGTGATTCGTTTTTAATAAGAACGAATTTTATTCAAAATCAAAATCAATTCTTCCGCGATTAAGTCCCGAGGGCTTCAAAAGGCATATCGCCTACAAACGGTACATATTTATGCAGAATGTGTTACAGTGAAAAATCGAACCAAACTAAGGCAGATGACTTATGAATTTTTATTCTAAATTTTAAATATGAATAAAGCCTTAAAGACCAAATCACACATATTAATTTGTAGGTAACCAATAAAATATCTATTGATTAATCGATTATCGTAGTACGTTCCTTAAAATATTTTTTATCAGGTAATTTTAAAACGAATGTCTATGACTCGGAAAGGCATTTAAAAAACAATCCCAAATCGCACTGGAAAACTCAAAGTGGAAAATTTAGAAATTCCACAAGTAAGTTTTTCCTATTACAACTGATAAGATAAATGCTATTAAAAATGTCATAGACTCGAATATATTTTTTAGGTAATTGTTCAGAAGAAAATAGTACGAGAGAAACGGAATCTCGAACTACAACTAATTTTCAAAACATCAATGGACGTCGGGGTTCCTTGCAGTTATGGCAATTTTTAGTGGCCCTTTTAGATGCCCCTGATATCAGTGCAGGATGTATAGCGTGGACAGGAAGGGGGATGGAGTTTAAATTAATAGAACCGGAAGAGGTAATGTATCATCCAATGTTCATTGGGGTAAAAGAATTTTATTTTTAATTTTTAAACAATTTCTCGAGAAGAGGAAGAAATTAAATTTGAATTTTATTATGTTCGTTAAAGCCGAATTCCGATAATGATACGTTTATTAATGTCTGTTACAATAAAAATACGCAAAATTTCATACCAATGACAAATTTCACTTTGAAATCAAACTCTAAAATGGTTGCTATACTTCGTTTACTTTCTGTAACGATGTAACCTTCAGTTTGACTGGCGCAAAGTAGAAAAGAACAGCACTAACCCAGAAAAGAAAGGAGACAACTCTCGGCCAAACTCTTAACCGATGAGGAGCGTATAATCCGTACAGTACTGCACGGAAATATTGACCATTTTATCCACTACAATTGCATTGCTCAATTGTGCTGTTATTGGTACTAATTATTACTGAAAATATCAACTAAATGTTTATTTATATTTGAAGTCATATTAAAGGCTTTAACGCTTGTTTTCGACTCGCACTACTATTCATGATTGAACAAAACTTTTGGCAGGTACTGTATGAAAAAGTATGTTTAATGAACAAGAGTCGGGAATATAATGAGCTTTTTTTTCCCTGTCTACGATTTTGTCAACGCGCATCCAAGACATTGGAAGGGGCACATCGCTACAGAAAGTAAATGAAGTATAGCTAAACAGACGTTATACCGTAACAACTGATCGGATCTATCGGTTTTTTTTGGAATGCGTTTACCAAAACCTATCGTTTGTTATAAATGTATACCTTATTATATTCTAGAAGAGCAGCGCCATGATTAAATGCAAAGTTGTTTTATTTTTTAAACACCAAAAGCGTTCGTTATATTTCATCAATCCGCATGTTCGTTAAATCCGAATTCGACTATAAATATTTTACACAGATTATTAAATAAGCAAAAATGTCTTTCTAAAGGTTGCAAGAAGGTGGGGCGCTCAAAAAAATCGTCCGGCAATGAACTACGACAAACTTAGCAGGTCCCTTAGATACTACTACGAAAAAGGAATAATGCAAAAAGTTGCAGGTACTAGTATACATATTCAAAATTTCAGTTAAAGAACCCTGAGAAAAACTAAAAATTAGTGCCTACTCTTAAAATAGAATTGACGTTACAACATTATTTAAAAACTTATTTTGTTTTAGGAGAAAGGTATGTTTACAAGTTTGTCTGTGACCCAGACGCTTTATTCAACATGGCGTACGGACCGAACCATGATGGCGGCCACCACATTAACACAAAACCCGAACACTATTCTACTACCAAACCGGAAGCCCATACCTTGGCATACAGTGACATGCTCAATTTGTACAATTGCAGTTTTGCCCGCTCTCATCATTACCAACACCTTCATCCATATTTACAAGAATCCAAACAAGTTCGATATCCCTAACCGTAAATTAGGTAATAAAAGTAATTCCCAATCATTTCCGCCATTGAAAGTGAGGAAAATCAATTTTAGAGAGTGACACAATCTCCCTTTATAGTGTTATTTACATTTATAAACTTTAGATGTTCATTGTGCATTTGTTGTACTCAAAAGTTAATAAAGCCAGTCATAATATCTAATAAAAATTGTAGTTTACGAATTTTTAATTATTTTTCTTTGCTTTTCAAAAAATAATTCCCGGAGTGTTCCAGATTTTGCCTTCGAAAAAAACAGGAATATGGGTACTTTCTAATGAATGAATTAGACTAAAAAACAAATTATAACACTTTCTTTAATTGTCTTTTCTTGGTCTTGTTAATAAAAAAAAGAAAATTAATAAACTTCTCATCTTCCGCTATTGATATATCTCCCTGTATATAAGTGTAGATGTCTTATGGATATGCAACCAATTATGCAGGTTGATTTGTAAACAATGTCTGTTTTAAAAATTTGGTCATAAATTAAATTGTTATATGGCAAAAAAACGGTGGATTAATCAAAGTTTAGCTAAATTACTTTTGGAACATAATAGTCCGGACGATAAAGCAGAGATAGATTGGAGCTCCAGCTCTGATGGTGATAATTATCCCAAACAAACAATAAGCAAACATTTTGAGGTTAATTTAAATGGACAAAACAAACGAAAGCGACATTTCAAACGGAATAATTCCAGTAAATGGAAAAGTGAACGAATTTTTGAAAACAGTAAACCCTCCCCATCAAGTAAACACGATTTCTGTGAATCTCCTATCTTACTATCTCCAAATATTGAAGATCTATCACCAGTGTTATCACAGGGAAGGCAGGATACTTCTCAATCACCAATTATTGGTAACAGAAAAAAGCTGAAGGCAAATTTTAAACGTAGGAAAGAAGTAAAACTTATTGAAAAGACAAGTTCTCCATTAACTGAAGATTGCGTTCAAACCCAAGCATCTGCAATTATAACAGAATGCTCATCCCCAACCAATTCTCAAAGTTCTGTTCTCAATATCGGAGAGTCTGTAGTTAAGAACTTATTATCTGAGCCTGAATGTATAGAGTCAAGTCAACTGAGTGAAAGTAAGAAATCAGTGTATGCTATTTCTTCAATTTCATCAAAAAGTGAAAATGATAATCAAAGTCTAAATAATGAATCATTAAAATCATCTTCCAATGTAAGTTCACCTTATTTTAAACCAAAGAAAAGGAAGAAAGTAAAAAAGAATGGCTGGGCTGAGAAACTTCAAGATGCACTTTATAAACAAAAGTATAACTTTGCAATTTGGCAACATGAACAATTTTTAAAAATAATTAAAGGTAGTGATAATTTTCCTTTAGAAGAACCCTCAACTGTTGTTAAGGTGCAATGTTTTTGGAAGGAATATGAAATAACTGTAGTTAAAGGTATTATTTTAAGTGNTAAAAAACATCTAATTTTTAAACTCAGAACCTAATTAGCACCTAATTTTCTCTGATTCATATCCTTCTTTTATTAAATATTTTAATTGTGTTGCTCGTAGGACGTTATGCCAGTTTGACTGTTGCGTTGCAGTGTAAGTTAAAAAGCCCCTAATTTTTAAACTCAATACCTAATTGGCACCTTAAAAGAGCCCAATTTTCGCATTTTTGAATGCGATTTCCTGAATTTGTATTGCTAGCGTGACAGAGGTGCTATTAAACTGACTTACAGTTTTTTTATTGTATGCTAAATTACAAATTACAATAGATAAGTAGATGTACTGTTTCAAAAAAAATATCTTCAAATTTTGATGCTAGTGATTACTGTGTAAGCCAATAATGTTCTACGGTAAAAATGAAACGTACAATCCTTAAGCATTTTAATGTGTTTTTGATTGTTACCATGCCTGCTTTATCCCAGGTCCATTCCCAGCAGACTGGAGAGGAGAACCCTGGCAGGCAGTCAACGGTAAGTAATAGCAATGGATGAATAATTTAAAGGGCTAAATGTGCCCAGTCTACCCTCCCGTTGAAATCTTTCGTATCATTTACCAGCCATACACAAGAATTAGTTCAAGTTGTACTAACGATTACAGATATTTAAGTAATTAAAAGGAAACAACTAACAATGAAAGAAAAAAATTATTGCGCCACTACACTACTTTATTTTATCAATATGACAAGGAATAAGAAACATCCCTTATAATACAAAAATATTACAGTTACAGATTTTTATATTTATATTTATATATTAGTCTGTCGCGTTTTTAATAAGAATATAAAAAGTATTGATTGATAATCGATTTTGTCCACAGTCTAATCTATCGTCTACCATATTATGTATGCCAAGCTGAACTATTGTGAGTCTGTACACGGAGTTCATTACCTATATGCTTAATTAATAATTTACTGTAATTTTAATGCTGCTCTCACCCCTTTGGGATACAAACGATGATTAGCGAGTAATACGTAATGTACATTTTGATGCTCTAACATCTAACTGAAACTGTTATTAAGGGAGCAAAAGTTAAGGGTTAATCAGTGGTTTTAATTTGGGAGGAAAGGGCACATACATAATTATTTCTCTCTAATAAAAAGTGTAATTGTTCACAAACTTATGGTAAATGATCCCTAATAAAAAATGTCTTTACAGGAAACACCTGTGAAAAAGATGAAAACGAACAATTTGTACCAGATTCTGATTACCCTCACCATTATGTCCATAATGGTAAGAAATTAATTATTATTTCATATAATACCTACGTTGCCACCCTGTTTGGCAAATATAGTGGAATTCGTTTATTATGACTCCGCCTATATTGACCAACCGCTTCATATGAAGTAATTGTAGTGTTAAGTTTAGTTATTATATTAAATTCTCTATAGGAATGTTTGGATATAATGACCCCGTTTAAAATGATATCGGTTATTATGACTGATTCTCAAGAAATGATATCCGGCTATAGTGACCCAAATGATTAATAATAACATTTTCGCTCATTTTTCTGATCCTTCTTACGTATATTGATATTACAGTACATCCGTTCTTTTTCTGTTAATAAATATATACAATTTGTAGTTTTTATCTCAATTAAACTAAATAACTAACCAAAATATAAAGTTGTTTATTTTCTAAGACTATCCTTTGTATGACGCCTGCTTAGTATAACGTGTTTGTTATTTCCCTTCGATGTCATTATAAGCGGATTCTACTATAATATCATGAATATCGAGACTTCAATCATAAATGGTTTTCAAAATCATAAACAGAAAAAAAAATCCTTCCAACAACATTCAATTCGAAGGGAAATGTTGCCGATAAATTTTATTAACATTTATAATCAATACTGAAAGTTAAACAGTAATACTATTTGAGGGATGATATTTGATGTGTTGAAGTTTCATTTTTCAAAATTAAAAATTATCACACCTAATCTCTGTAGCTAACGTAGGGTGGTATCACCTCAGGGCAGAATTTTTAATCAAGATTAAGCCTCCCCAACGTTTATTTGAAACGTGAGTCAATATGTAGGTAGATCTGTTTGTTCAAAATTTAAAAAATTATCCCAAGCAGCCCGCTAAAGAATATTAATAACCTTCATGTCACAAAAAGGGCTTATGCACTTATTAAAAGTTATTAACAACCCGGAATGTCAGAGTTATGTTCTAATGCGTAATTCTATGTTTACCTGCTGAAATTGTGCTGAAACCTGTCGCTAGAAAGTTTTAGTAGCAAAAGATTTTTGGTGTTAACTAGATGCAATAGGGAATCGCTTTTTGTCGTACACCTCCATATGGTATCAAGAACACAAAATACAAACAAAAAAAATCGTACAATACGGATGCTGCAGCTGATTGAATGCCGCGTTGCAATGTCGTATTTCCCTGCGTGATCCTGCCAGGGCCGGACCAACCCTTGACTGTACCTTCAAATAGGTACAGGCCTGACGCTGGAAGCTGGCGGAAATTTTGAAATGGCGTGGATGCGCGGTGGCAAAAGTAGGCAGTTTTAGGTATAAAGATTGCAGCCCACATTCTTCAGTATTGCTATCAGGGGCGTAGATTAAATATTTAAATATAGGGATCAGTGAGCAAGTAATAGATAGACAAACAGAAGAACTAATTGTTGATGTTGGTGACAGTGATAGAGATTCCCATGATGAGAGTGAATGTGAAAACTGACTATAAGACAAAAGCAATAGGTTAATTTTTTCTTTTTGATAAGTCATGTTTTTACATTATTTTCTAGTACGCTACTGTCCTATCTGTATTAATACTATAATTTACGCCTACTGAAAGCTTATTTGTGTATCGGTTCCAAGTGACTTACCCAAATAGGTCATAAATGGGCAAGTACCTGCGCGACCGCTCGCCAGCTTCCTTCGTCAGACTTGTATGTTTATCTCGAAAACGATGGACATTTCGAACGCTTCTAAAACGCACCTTTAACAATCTATTTCGAATCTCTAAATTAACTATTCGCTAGCACAGAAGTGGCTTCTTTTTATTGAAAACGACTCGACCCTGCTCTACCCTCTGCTTTATATCCTACTACTCTTTCCGTCCTGACTTATCTGACTTCCTACATACCTAAAATCGGCCACTTCCAGTATTTTAGTTCTACTTTTATTTATTTTCATACTATACTATTTTGTCAGTACCACTTCGATTTGATTTAAAGATAGCACTAACTCCTTGCTAGATCATCTAGGTATAAGTTCCGATTCTTAATTTTAATGTCTATAAATATTTCTTCGGTTACGCGACATCATTTGTAAAGTATTATGTTTCATTTTTGTTGCAAATATCTCAAAGAGAGCTAAATTAATTTTTCAAACCAGCGCCATGTTAGGTGTACTTTTTTGTACAAATAATAATATAACGTAGTATTACTTGAGAGTGTACAATCGACGTTTACGTGGGGCAAAATTCGTCTCCCTCCAGCAGGTTGACGGAGGGCATAAAGAGGCAACCCACTGCGATGTAAGTTGAAAATATACAAATAGAAAATAGAAGCTATGACTTGAAAGAAGCACTGACAGCTGATCTTTCGCCCAGCAGGATCTAACCGCATGTCTCCTCTCTCAGCAATCACGAATGTGACCGTGCTAAGGCAGAACTGAATAATTTTCGAAACGGAAAAGTATCCTTGTGATTAAAAATTAATGAGATAATATATAGGTACATTTATTTTGCAACTATAACTTAATTTGTGTACACGATTCTCCATGATCATAATAATATGAAGAAATATTTACGAAATGTCTTTACAATTTTTGTGAAAAGAAAATCATGATCTCGAACATGATCATACGTAGGAACATATTCGAACGTAATGTTTTCGCCCTCTTCCGATTTATAATCGAAAATAGGGGTTTATATTTATGTTACCACAATCAGGTCTTTTACTTAATTATCTACAAATTTTCAGGAAAAGGGAATAGTTTTTCACGGAATCTCGATCCTGAAATATTTATTAGTACTTATCTATCGCGTTTTTAAAGTTTAAAATGGAAAAGTTACATTAAAATTGTCCCATTCGTTCGAAAACCGGAATCGTAAATGGTTCAAAATGTCTGATCTAACACTTTCCAAAACATGTAATAAAATAGGCACTAAATGAATTATTTTGTAAGATTGTGAGTATATTTTAGATGAAAACATCCTCTTCATGAAAATAGAAAGATTTTATTTTGATTTCAGGAATCAAATCAGAAAATATTATGAACAATAGCCCTCACAATTTGTCAAAATCGCAAAATTACCACCCCAATTCCGTTTACTCATTTGGAGATATTTATGAACCGTTTACCACTCCTGTTTATGCATCTGCAAGCTGTTTTTACCCTACAACAATTGCAAGGTAAGTATATTAATATATTGTGTCTGGCGCATCCACCAAAATTATTACGAACGAATTTATTCTAAATTAAAATAATATTATTCGTTATTTACTTATAACATCCATCTTCCTGTCTTTCTTAGCAGTTCGAATACCCTTACCAACAGTATTCAGCATCAAATATCCTACCCTCACCCTTACATCAAAGAAGAACCAACCGAGAAGGACTCTCAGTGTAAGTTACCCCCTTATTCTTATTATAAACAATTAATATATATGAGAAAGCCCTGATTTGTTCATTTTATTTTTTAAACTTTATCAAAGTAATTGTGAAGTCACTGATAAATAGGTGAATTTAACATCTTTATTTTAACAATTTTAAAAATTCAAAAATTATAATATAATATAACTACAAATAAGTGAGTCAATATGTAGGT